TATATTGTGGGCTGACTAAAGTTAAAATTGAGAACCTTTGAAATACATCGCACTTGCGTGGATTTTGAATGCTAGCCGTGATATCTAATAGTTCCAGGTAAGGTCCCATGTGGGAGTGTGGATGCCCACTGTGGAGGAGTTACAAGCTAGAATGAAACATCAGTCTACTGCTCTTTGGTTTTCTTTATTTCATTAATCAACGTTATTTCAAGACAAAAATTATAATCAAAAAGTTACGCTAGCAATAAAACTACATGTCATCAATAATAGGGTATTTCATAAGTAAATGTGACCTAAACTTAATTAGCATATTAATTTCTACTAATAGTAATAATTGCTAAACATGGAAGAAAGATTGTAGGGTATAGATTTCTTATTTACTTACCTATTATAAATTAACTTTACTCGGATTATTATAAAGTAACTTAGGTCGTGATTAGTGTATTAAGTGTAAACAATTTTCTGCCTCTCTATCGATCAACAGTCTTTGGTGACACCCAAAAACTGAAATGTGATAAATATCTAGTTATCAGTTCTTCCATGAATTTCTACTACCTGAAGTAGTTAGTGTTATTTTCATGTATATTTGATTGTCATCTAATGGCTTGTCTTATTGTATGTACTTTGTTTCAATGACTAATATTCATTGGTCGAATGTACCATCATCTTAATATATACACCTCGGTCTATGAACTTTATCATTAAGTCATTATAACCTCTTTTATAGATCAGTTACATATGAATCATGTCAAGTTTCCGATCATTGTTATTTCTTTTTGGTTTTGACAACCTACTACCTGTTCGTTATATACATTTGTCATTTTAAAAAATATGCCAGTAAAATATATTCACTTCTCAAAATTATTCTATTTTAAATAAAGATTCCTGGCGTCTTCGATTTCATCCTTGACACTAATCAATCTCCCCATTACCTTCATGAAAAAGTTACAAAACCAAAGACAGTTTTATTTCTCTCGAGTGTACTTTCTTAAACAACAACAAAAAAACCACTGATATTAAAAAAATTGAATCTCTCATCTATGCATATAATTTCTTAACACATCACAACTGATTACATCATACTATGAAAACTAATTATTAAAAGCTTAAAAACATATTAAAAACCAGTAAAAGCAAGTTTTATCATTAATTCAGCACAGATTTATTAGCTTAAGGCTACTCAACTCTTTGACATGTCATAAAAATTTTTTGACAAGAAATGCATAGATTAACTAAGCTAGAAAATGGATCTAATGATATGTTGCTGTAATATGTGTTAAATGTCCTGATGATTAATAAATCTAATATAACCTTATCTTAGTTCCTTTTTAATTCTTTTTTCTGTAAATTTTTCCCTATGGCAATCAAAGTTAAAATGAAATTTTACTTTTAGTTTATATCAGTAGGCGGATAAATTTGTAAATATTCTAATAAACTAACTCATACCTGAAAATGAAAAGTAATATCTTATTAATGTTTCATTTTTGCCAAATTTATTAACTAAACTAAATGATTAGTTAATGTTAAGCAATGTCATGTTGTTCACTTTTCATCAGTGACTGAATTTTTCATCTGCTCAGTCCTAGACCAATCATTAGACCGTGTGATTTAATACTGAGATACACTGTGTTTGAAGTTAGACTTTTGAAAATAGCTAGCAGTAATTCCTTATATAAGTGACACATGTTAGAATTTATTAGGGAATGTCAATTATTTCAAGAATGTTAGTAAATCCCAACTAATAGGAATCCTAGATTCATGGCTTCTTGATGATCCCCTCCGACTAACTAACAAAATTTAAACACCATAGCAAAGATGGCAATGTAGTCCTAAAGAAGTATATTTTTACAATTAAAAACTTTCCCATACATGGGAAAGCTTGATTTCAAGTAGGATGCAATATACTATTTCCGTTAAACACGGGGATATTATCATTAGTCGAATGAGTGAAATTACGGTTGCTGAAAGTTGGATATTTGATGTGATTTACGGCAAGCTTCTCACTAACAATTTTTTTGAAACTGCAAAACGTTGAGTTTCAGAGTGCAGCTCAATTAGTTAACAACAGTTTGTTTTTGACAAGAATTCAATCCACTGAGTTCTATCCCAAAAGAATTTATTACCAAAATAGAAACATATGACTACTTTAAGGAAATCATATCCATGATGATAAAGGCTCTTTGTGCAACACACCACCAAATCATTACTTCACTACCCTGTTAGATAATATCACGTTTTTTTAGAATGACATTTTCTACTCCAGTGGCAATATTGCCCCATTCGATTAAAATGACCTATATAATGGCTACTGGTTCTCAAAAGAATAGTGTGATATTTACTAGAGTATAAGCTAATGTTATTTTACAACCGTTTACCCTCCTCATGCACTTTGAAAAAGCGAAAATAGTAAAGTGTTCACTTAATCTCTATTTTAAATTATATGAACAGATTAAACAATTTTACTGGTTACATATACACGTAGAAATCTTATTCAGCGTATATATATACTGTGTTAAACACCTACTTATTTCCTCCAGAAACAGTACTCAGAATTTTATTTTTATTTGTTCAGTAGACAAGTTAACCTATAACTTATTTTATAGTTGGTATATTCACCTCAGTTAAATGATGTATACTAGTTGTGATAATAAAACCGATTTTTAGACTAATTTTATTCTTAAAAGTGGAAAAATTCGACAATGTGTTTAAAAATTTCCTGTCTTCAAGTACAAAAATGAAAAAACCTGAAACGGTTGGCAGTGTGATCTACTGTTCAAAATGTTGTTCACTTATTGATGAACTATCCGCTCAAAGAGCTTTTATATCTTGAAGGTTTGATCATCTTAGACATGATTACCAAGAGCTGAGAAGTATAATCGTTTGCGAATAATAATAGGCATAATACTTGCGAAACAAACCTGTAGCTAAATTTAACTAGTAGGCTAGTGAATAATATTCCTGTATTAGAAAGGATAATTACTGAACTTGAGCCTCAGGACCCAGTGTATCTAGCTGATTGCTAGCCGCTTTCCAAAATCTTATCGCACATGAACACTGATTAGAAAGAATGGAAATGTCTGTTAGTTAAAGCTGACAATTTGTATACAATATTCTCCGTCGACATACCAATTTATCATATCAAAATTAATAACAAATGTCTATTTACAACAATGAATAAGGATTACTTATCCCATAAAACATAAGAAAGTAAAAATGATTTAATAGACGTTTAAACTGTTACCCAACCGCATCTCCACCAAATCCTATGATGACTAATAACAATTTGAATAAGTGATTAAGTTTGAAACTGATATCCCAAGGTTCTGGTAGGAACCTCAAAGTTTAATCGTAACTACAACTCCCTACCGCGGACAGTAGATGCTTTACATTATAATATGAATTCAGATAAAGGATGTTAACATTGAATTCTTAAACAGTAATCTAGTGATGCTATGATCGTCATAAAGCTAAAACGTTCTAGACTTCACCATTTTTGGTGGCAAATTAAATTCTAGTTTAAAAAATTGTTGTACAATAATACCAGCTCCTGACAACGTAGAACATTATAATTAGGACATTCAACTTTTCCAACAGGCAGTTTATTATTTAACCAGTATAACTAGTCTTTGCTTGAACTGATGAAATACACTTTGTACATGATTATATGTTAATGGAAAAATCTCCGAGCTATCACGTGGCTCTGTTTGTTCTAGATATATAAATTCCTTATGACTGATAAAATATTGAATACTTAGAAGTGATTTAGGACTTTCAGTGGGTTTTGTCACGGTAACCTAAGTTTATATAGTTGAATATTATTACTTATAGTGTGGTTTCAAGCGCATTAAACATATACTTTATAGAAGAGATATTCAGATTTTATACATAACAAAATCTTCATCGTAATCAATCAAGTTGACACTCAAATAGACGGCATTCCATCCACTCATACTTCACAGCACAACTGACAGATTTGTTGTTGGTTGATCCAGCTCTTTCACCTATTATTTTTCACAGTTAAAAATCCAGAACCTATTATTTCTCAACGCATCATCTCTGTGCAATGCTGCAATAGTCTAGTTTTTATAAACACTGTCCGTCAGTTTTAGACGAAACATAAAACGAAATCTACTCAATTGAGATATCTACATCTACATCACATTGAGGCAACACTAATGAGATTAGAAGTATTTGAGCAAACGTATTTTGATGCAGAAAATAGTTTCATATATATTTTTATACAAACAATGAATAGGGGAAAGGTAATCTTTACAATAATAGAAAATGAAATATTTATAAAAATGTACAAATATTTAATATTCACATAAATAAGGTTAAACTGAAAAGGATGTTAAAGCAAGAGAAGCCAATACAAATGAATAGAAGTATTCTATAATCAAATGCAGTTATAAACTGTGCATATGATACATATATGAGTTATAATATTCAAATGAGTAATAAACTAGTCGAATTATTCTAGAGATTCTTGTAAATGAAAGGGGAATAAACAAGTTGGCATAACTGTTGTGTAATAATAATATTAATAACAATAATAATACTGATAAACTTGATAATCTCTGTTATAGGACTGAATTAACAAAATTTAAGCGTTAAAAATTAAAATGAATAATCTGTTCATTTTTATGTATATAAATGTATGTTATGTGGTATATGTTTATGTTTATACGTTCAATCAATTAAAGTATCACAGAAACGGGAGAGAGTGAGAGAGATTCCAAGCATACATTCACCTTGAATGGTCTGGAGATTGAATGAGCAATCAATGCAAAAAATACACGTTGGAACAATGAAAAGAATCATCTTCATGTATAGACTACTGTTTACTCTTGTACAATTAAATAGAAATTACAAAGTGAAAAAAAGGAATTCAACTGAAATATTCTGTGAACTCAAATACAAAAAAAATGTAAATCAATGATATTCTGTTTATCTGCAATTTCACCAATGATGCTGGTTAGTAATAATGAGAATAATAATAATTAGGTATTAAATAAGATAACTTTTTCAGTTACTCTTGAGGAAGGCATGACACATCTATCGCCATTAATAATAGAAATAGTACCATTAGCAGTAGTCTTCGTTGGGCTCCGTTTACAATTAACAATAATAGTTCGTTCACATTCACTTTTCTTAACTTGTTGATGTTGTTGTAATTCCTCCATTTCAGCAATGGATCCGTACGCCCAGTCGATGAATTGACGACGACATGCTTCAGATGGCATATTTAAACTAATTACAGGGCCATTAGAATTACACAATTGAACTCCGTATCGATAATCTGATTGTATTGAAAATAATAATAAAAAATACAAATGAGATTGACAAGCATTCGACAAGATTGAATAATTATGCAAATTTATATCAAACAATGTGCATATTTTCGAGTATTATATTAATAATTTCGTTTATCAAGGGTAGTTCAAATTAATAGCTAGTGAATTAAAGTTGAGATGCATAGTTGTTGCTTAAACCTATTTCATTTTTCAATAAGAAAAACGGTAGTAAAAATTTTGCCACTTCAAAATTATACCTAAACCACTGAAAATTAATATCACTGGAATTTTATTGGTATCAGAAAATGTTAAATTCAGAAGCTGAATATCACGTCATCTATTCTTTTATCTTAAAAACGCAGTCTCGCAACGGGGGGAAAACACATGGGGTTCAGATTCGGAGTTAATTTTCACAAATATGACCTTTCTCTTCTAAATCATTTCATTTCCTTATACATAAACTTGATTTTCTTCTACCCCACCTACCACAGAAAGTGGATCGGTTTTTTTTGGTTTTTTTGCCCTAATGATTATAAATATATTTCAAATATTATCATTGTAACAAATATTTTTATAAACAGTCCATTGTAAGAACTTAGCAGGGAGTCTTTTAAGGCAGAGAAATATTGTTTACAGTATTTTGCAACTTTATTTGCGTGCATAATCAATAATTAGGTTGAAAGGGGGGGACAGAAGCTTGTGACAAGCAGGGAATACGACAAAATGAAAACAACAAATATATTTAAGGAAGCATGCTATCAAACCAAATGTGTCTATACAAACACGCACGCAATTTGTTTTACCAGGCCTATAATGGGTTTGTCAGGGTGAATTATTAATAGATAACAATTCGCCGTAGGCTCTTACGTATATAGCTAAATAGTATCGTCTGGTGAGAATCACCTTAGTTCAAGTACCAAAGCATTTATGAGCACAATCCCTTTAATCTATACAAGATATCGAAGTTCGTTTGAACAAGCTATTACCAAAGTCGGGTTACATAACTTGCCATAATCTAAAAGTACTCTGAAAGATGAATATGTAATCCGTCGTAACTACCATTTAATATACAATCACCATTTTATTATTTTTTTTTGGTAGTTTTGATTAGTTCTATACAAATTCTGTTAATATTAGGTACACAAATCATATTATTTTTTTGATATCTTACGTCATTAAAATATATACCGTAATGTGTCAGATTTAAATCATTTTGAATAAGTATTACATTACATCATGTAGAAATTATTGATTATTAGGAAAACTGATTAAATAATAAAGTATGCTTACAATTTGATTCAAAGACCAACACTCGAAGATCAAGGAATGGATAAACACTTCGAACTTGAAAAGTTGTATCCGTAGCAAATGGTTCAGTTGAACAGAACACCTTTTGTGTTACATCTTGAACCGGACCGAAAGGACTACAACTACTGTCATCTCTAGATACGGAGTTCCTTGGTGCATAATGACGAGTACCATTTTGATCTCCAAAAGCAACTACTGCGACAGAATTTATAAGGGAACCTGATCGTAATCGGGTTGTATTCAATGATTTGACAACCACTAATATGTCGTTAAATATTAGTAAGTGGCGCCATCGAGCATTATTTCTACCCGGTAATTTTCGAGGAGCAATTTTTTCAATTTCTTGGGTCAATATTCTGCCAATGAAACGACGATGTCGTTGTACAAAATTGTCTGTTTTTAAAGGACCGACCAAAACTCCATCCAAAGCACGAAGTTTATCGGACGGATCTGGTAATGTCTTAAACTCAGAAGCAGCAATACGATCATAAATACCTTCCAGTAAATCTGTAGACACATCATGATCAGAATCAATTCCACGATTATTGTTAATAAACCCTTGTTTGGTCATCCGTTTGCCCATTTTTCCAACGTTAGGATTATGAAGATCAGTGTGTAACAAAAGCACTGAATATGCTAAAACTTCCACTGTTTCAGGACTATGAAAATTTTTCCGGACACGATCTGGATTTTGAATAATATATACTTCATGAAATATTTTCATTAGGTGAGCGATTTTTTGAGATTCACCCTGAGACAAAAAATAAAGAATGGTTAAGGACAGTGCAATCACCGAAATTTGTAAAACATCAACTATGTTTAGTGAATTTCATTGAAATCACGAACCGATCTAAGTTAGACCACTATTGAAAAATTGGAAATACTATACAACTGTTTCGTCTCGAGTGTGAGACTTCTCGTTGGCATCTATTCAAGACACCGCATCTAGAATTCGGACCCAAAAGTTCTCAAAACCGACTTCCATCAAACCAACCGACTTAGTTAAATCCAACAATTTCCACAACCACTTAGTCTATTTAATGACTACTCAATGTTTAATTAAATTAATGAAAACTTACTGAGGGATGGAAATGTCCGATAACTGAACGCAAGGCAACATCCACTTCCATATTCTTCATATTGATCAGCAATAAAAATTCCCTGTAAATATTAATTAATTGGAAGTGTTATTACATCATGTGGAATTTTAAAATGAAAACTAAAATGAACATAATCCAAGCAAAGCCATATATACCAACTATTATTGTTGAAACTCACTTTAAAACTTTCATTGCCAATGTGTTGTCAAGTAGACCAAAGTATTCTCCAATAGCTTGCCGATTGAGATTTGGTTCATGGAATAAGAATTGAGCAATTTTAATGGGATCAGACAATAAAATATAATTTCTTATAAGGTAGTTGACTCCTTCGACTGGGTTCCTGTGTTTAATAAGAAATAGAATCTTATTTAAAAATTCACATTTGTAACATATATATATATATATATATATATATATATATATATATATATATATATATATAACGAAGATCTGCGAACGTTTTGGTTTTAATTGTAATATAGCTGTTTTACCTGTAACACAGTGATAGAGATCTGACGGTAGGGATCCCTTCTGTACTCTAGAACTTATAATCGAATGTATGTGTATCACCTGATAAAGGTGTCTTAGATTTATGCATATAACCATACACAACGTGACCATTTTTCGGGCTCCTCGTGTTCTGTTAATGGTCCAAAGTCCGTGTGAAACACAAGGGTCGAAACAGAGTTGGCAACTAAGTCGCATAGAAATCGAGCTACATTACACACATGCTATATAATAAATAGTCACTCACCTATTAAACAAAGTGCAACCTGCCAATAAAGTACGTTTATTATTCGCTTTTTTCATAGACTGACGTAAAGTGGTCGCCCAACTTGCCGAAGATCCTACTAGATTTCTATGTTCCCTTATATCTCTACTTTGAGTTTCCACATCTGTACTTCGAAATGTACTACTTAGCTGCGATGAAAGCCCTGAATCTTGATCACTTGATTTATTCAACTCTGAATACATATTCGTCATCGATGATCGCGTGGTTGGTTTGTAGATCACAGGTCCTGAGGACGTAGAATTAAGAAATTCAGAAGGAATCGGTAGTCTATTTCGACGTTTCATGGTTGGAGTGTAGAATGTATTCATAAGAGACTTGTGAGATCCAGTACTCTTGCCAACAGAATGACTCATGCTTGTGAAATCCGAAACAATCGAACTGATACTTGAATAAGTACTATTTTGATTTTGAGAACACGGACCATCGATACCAGTAGGCGGAATAATAAACCAAGATTCATCTCCTTCACTCACACATTTTTCAGAACCAAAGAGGTTTTTGTTAACAGCTTTAACTTCATTGATTTTATAATCTTCTATATTGTTATTCTTCAAAACAATAACTTTCTCATTAGTTTCATCTTCAGAATCACGATGGTCACAGCTACTTGTATGATTAACGTCATGCGATAGAAATTTCCCGGGTGTGTTACTTTCCTGTGATCTCGATGTTCTAAAATCAGTGAAAATAGAGGAAGTATGAATGATTTGAAACGAGAAAAATAATCGATCGACCAAAAAACAGTTGCATTGGAATTTTGTTAGGCTATGAGCAATATTGTCTGGATCATAGGGGATGAAAGACGAAAAATATTAACAAAGACGTCCATATGTTTTCAATATGGATTCTAGTTTATGGGAGAAATTTTACACCAGCTGCTCAAATATTTGAGTTGTCTGAGTCATCCATTCAAGTTTTGTCCGTTAAATTTACTATACGTATGTGCGTGTGTGAGAGGATAAAATTATGCACGTGGAAATCTACTTATATATCATACCCATATGAAACACATATGGTCATCTCTCCCTCCACCCTAAATGATCCTATTTTCATCCCAACTGTCTGACCCTCTAATTTGGTAACAGGGTGGTAGGTTGAAAGATCGTTATAAATACTTAATCTTGTGAGGCATACCACCTTTCACAAAGATCCTGCATACACGTGTACGCAGAAACAATTTTTAGTTTTTCATCATAGAAATTCCCATATAACATAGGTAGTTTATTTCGGATCTGAGCTTTTTATATCTGATCCACTTATGCTTCAGCTCAGACACTTGGCTATGAGTCATAAAATTTGTGTATCACGATCACGACCTTGAAGTTTTTGTACAAACAAAACCCAGTAGATATGAAAAGTAAAAAAGAAAGATAGTTTTAAAAAAATACGAAAAAGATAGAATTGTATAATCTAGATATTTAAATGTACTTAAATGTAAAAATTAACTTTGAAGGGAACTGAATAGTTGATATCCTATCTTGAAATTTTCTACTAGTGAATTATAAGAACGAAAGCTTAAATGCAAAAATAGTCAGTTGATAAAATTGCTAACACCTAATGCACACCATACATATATTTCTATCTGGTAAATTAAACTTGGTTGATGGGTTTCAGACTAAAATAGAAAAATTCCCTAAAAGAAATTGTTTTACAAAAAATCAGACCAACCGAAAGGTTATTAATGCGTGAATTTAGATCCACTTATATTACATATAATAAGGAACCGTTATACCACATCAACTTATTTAAAAGTAAATTACCATAGAAAATCAATATTCTATTGCGGCCTAACATAGAAACGTGATAAAAGAACTCAAATTTACACAACTAGTTAGTACAAACCGAACACTAGAAATATAGAGAGATAACTCACATAATAGGATGATTTGAAATACATCTATGTCTCAATAGACTACGGCGGGATTTAAAAACTTTAACATAAGGTGTAATTGTCTGCTGGGCAGTTTGATTATGTAGACATTCTTGTTGCGTTTTTTCAGGTATTGATGACCTGTTAGCGATAACTGGTACTGTACATTCAGTTGTTAAGGAACTATGAGGTAATGATCTTCGTGGATGTTTAACATTCTTTTCAAGCCATCTAGTAAGACTGCTTTTACGTTTAGTACAAGTGGTCGTTTGATTTGATTCAATTACGTTGGATAGATCTGATAAAACTTTGATTCTTTTATCAAATTGGTCAGCATTCGTATCAATCATTCCATCAGTTGGTTGTACATGCTGGTCGATATGTAACGGTGATCGGTCTCTATAATTTAGTATAGACCTCCGTCTTTTCCACTGGTTAAAATCAAATTGAGGATTAATATTTTTCTTCTCTGATTTATTTATAATATCGGATACTGGATGTTCAGCGGGAAGAAAAGTCATACTAAATCGTTTTACAAATCGTGTTAACTTTGAAGAAGGAACATCTGATTTATAGTCAACTTGAGGTGTCGGTTGATTTAAATTTTCAGAACAGATAACAGGATTTAAGTTTTGATTGATATTTACATCAAGTTTAGCAGCTAGAACACGTTGTGGTGTTTGGCGTATAGATGTTAATCTTATCCTTGGTCTTGGTCTGTTTGTTTTAAGTGGCCGTAAAGCATTCAATAATACTGGCGGTGAAGATTCCATTTTTGAAAATTTTTAATATAAAAGTAATAGTGCTTTAAACTGCATACAAGTTAATTAGATATGAAATTTATTCACCTAAACCGATTACCCTTTTAATATGCTTTTTAAACTGAAATAAACCAACCAATCACATACCTAGGGATTTTTTATTTCTTTTAACCAATCAGGATTCAGTAAATGAAAAACATGTCCACGCGATAATTTTACTCGTGGTTATAAGATCAGTAAGAAACGACAACAATAGGTCAAAAAATAGATTATTAAATATACTAATCTAATGAGCACAACATGAAATTTGATTTGTCAGCTTCATACTTTAGCAATTGAGATACGCTTTAACATTCTATATGTAATTATTTTTCCAATGATTAACTCTATTGCCAAAGCTAAGAATAAATTGATCTTCGTAAAAGCTTCTAGCAGTAATAATATGGATGAATAAAAATCTCAACATAATATGAATAAAAAATGTAAGGTCCCCAAGAGTAAATATAAGCAGAATTACTGTAGCAAACTAAATTTGATTTTTGAAAAATCAAATTTTTAAAGATAAGTTTACATTTTTCGTTAAATTACTCATATTAAATTAAGCATTAAATAAATTAAGGATTACTGAAATTATCTGGAATCAATTAGTAGGAGACAGAAAGAGAATATACCGATTTTCTATCTACTTACACAAACTTCTAAGACTTAGAACGAAATTGTTCATTCCCACCCTTCTTGTCACGTTGTTTTAAAGATAGTGGTTATGACACTCTTATGAATAGAATTCATACTTGTCAAATGTCTACAGCTCTGTATGATATTAGTTGGTTGGAACTATTCAGCAGCATCTCGTCTGTAATCAAAATGAAATTGGTGATTCAAGTGGGATTCACATCCTCATGACTAAACTTCACGGGCAGAGAAGTATTCGATGTGGTGTATACTCATCAACTTGTATGAAATTTACATCTAAACAAAAACCCAAAATCATCATCAAGGCAGTTTAGTATGTACGAGACATTAAAATTAAATACCATTAATCATTATTTTTCTATGTACACATTAAGAAATGAACCAATAAATTGAACAAATTAATAAACATACACATGTACATAGAAAACAGAAGAAAGAGAAATTCATTTATGTCATTACTTCTATATTCACTTTGAAACGTATCTGATTTAATAATAATAATAATAATAATAATAATAATAATAATAATAATAATAATAATAATAATAATAATAATAATAATAATAGTAATAATAATAACTAACCTGTCTTAGAAATGTAATAAAAATGTCCAACTTCTAGTTTTCGGACATATTTATGAGTTTTTTCACGAGGTCAATTAATAAATGTGTATATGTTATAAAGAAATATAGGAAAGATTCATACACATTTAAACTCATGGAATGTGAAAATGAGGTCATTCAATGATTTAACTTAATGCAGACAGAGATGAATGAGATAGATTTCAATGAATGAACTTCACCAACACCATTACTTTTGACAAGTAATTCTGTTTTGTTAATTGATTTAATAACATTTTAAAAAAACCATAGACGAAATGGACATCCATGATGGGGGGCACAGAAGAATCTCTCTCTTGATTATTCATTTATTTACAATAAATTAACTAATTACATAACATAAAGCTTACTTAATAAAGTGAACAGTAAAATGTGCTTCATTTTTACCCTTCTTTTATGACTATGGATTTGTACGTGATGAAAAGCTGAAAATAATCTTAGTAATTAATCCTAATAATGATATTTATATAAGTTTGACAGTTTTATTTATTTACAAATGGATGTTAGGAGAGAAAGATTGTAAAACATTAGACTATTCAGTGAGTGTTTTTTTTTAAGATATGAAGTTTTAATTTGAAAGATTGTTCTAGTTAACCCAGTATTCTTTGTTCATTAAGATATTTAAATGATGAGAGGACTCGGTTGAAAACGATTATAATGAAGAGAAGAATTTAAAAAAATTAGATGTTAATATTGTTGAGAGTAATATTAATTGGAAAATGGATTTGAATTAAATAGCTTCCAGAATGTTAAGCTCGTATTATGCTAAATAAATCATGTGACTGTTCAGTAGTGCCCATCCAAAACTAGGAATCAAATACAAGAACTTCAGATTCCGAGGTGTACATTTAATCTATAGATCACTGAGTCAGTATCCACTGGTCTACATACTGGTCTAACTTCAATTAATTCACAACTATTATCATTGATAAGTAACTACTTGAAACCAAATATGGACTGAATGACCACTGGTGAGGAGTTGCATATTAAGACGAAATAGCTGCTCAGTGCTTTAATAGTGTGACATAAATTATCTAAGTTATCGTACTGCACCTTTAAATGTTAAACTTTGCTTAGTGATTTAAAATTATTCAACCATCAGCTGGCTTAATATTCCACTATGTTTTAAGTCTGAGAAGTAAAAAAAATATGTATTATTCCAGGTTCACTTTGAATTTCGGTTATAAAGATCCAGAAAGTGTAAGTGAACTTTTCCAGAGAAATGGTTTAAATCTATATAATGGTTAAGTATACATTTTTATTCAATAATAAGAATCTATACTATTAATCAATTAATTGGTCACTTAACGAATGATCAATTTATTTGAAAATCCCTATTAAATGTTTCAGCAAAGAGTTGTATTGAATCAATTCCTCCTTCTGTCTTTACGGTCGTAAACTTAAAATATACTAAATTACATCTGTAATCATTAAAAAAATATACATACAATATGTGATTGAACTAATTCGTGTTTTAAAAGAATCACTAAGGTTAAAAGGATAAATAAATGGATGTCTAGATTATTTCCAAGCTTATACGCAAAAGATAATTTTATAAATATCCACATGTATGTGACGGTTGAATAGTAACTAAAATAAAAGTTGCATAAGATTTATTTGTAATCAAGTTATGTCTATAAAAAAATGATATGTTAATTCTTCAAGAGCAACAATATGTTATATGACGTAATAACTTTGTAGAAAATCTGTTTCTCCAGATTTCATAAT